AAGGCGTGTGCCACCATACCCAGCTATTATTTTTTAAATTTTTTTCTGGCTATTATTTTTATCTTGTTTGTATGAGTGTATTATCTGTATATATGTAAGTGTACCCATGTCATGCAGTGCCCAAGGAGGTCAGAAGAGGGTGTTGGTTTCCCCTGGAACTGGAGTTAGGGACAGTTGTTAGCTGCCATGTGGGTACTAGGAATTGAACCTGGATTTTGGTGGTTTGAATGAATATGTCCCCCATAGACTCCAGGTATCTGGATATTTTGTCCCCAGTTGGTGGTGATGTTTTGGGATGTCTTAGAAGGTGTGGCCATGCCAGAGGAAGCAGGTCACTGGGCGTGAGCTTAGAAAGTTCTTAAGCCTTGCCAGATCTCTAGTCACTCTCTGCTTCCTGCGCCTGCTTGAAGATGTGAGAGCTTAGCTTCTGCTCCTACTCCAGACACCTCTGCCGCCATCCCTCCCTGCCATGATGGACTCTTGCCCCTTTGGAACCATAGCTAAATAAACTCTTCCTTTTCTAAGTTCCCTTGGTCATTTGTTTCTATCACAGCAACAGAAAAGTAACTAATGCATGGGTCCTCTGCAAAACAACCAGTGCTCTTAATCACTGAGCCATCTCTCCAGCCTCTAAGAATGAGTTTTAAAGAGTTTTTATTGTAGAAAGAAAGTTTAAAGAAAGAAGATTAAAGATTGATTGTAGAAAGCAGAGCTTATAAAAGCAAGCTCTGGAGGGGTCCCCCAAGAGAGGGCAAAACAAAAGCTGTTTGTTTAGGCCCTTTTCATAGGACTTAAGGCAGTAACTGGACAAAGACTGAAGTGATTTCTATTGAGATTGGTTAGTTTTCTGAACATCTCACAAGTTGGCCCAATGGAGGGCCAACAAGCTCTATGCATGTCCCCTGGCCCAGAGAGATGTCAGAGCTCCTCACTCAATTAGGGGTTGGGAATGGTCATGCTTTGAAGCCCCTTGTGTTCATCTCTGACTTATGTTATTAACTATTGACCTTGACTGTCTGCTGACCATTAGCCTTCATTAGCAGTGGTAGTGTTCCTACCTTGCAGGTGTTGCTGATCTTAGACCTTGGAGGGCATCTTAGTTACTTTCTGCTGCTATGATAAACATGACCAAGGCAACTTATAGAAGGAAGAGTTTATTGGACTTATGGTTTCAGAGGGATATGAGGCCATCATGGTGGAGGAGGCATGGTGGCCCTGTTATGGCCCTGAATGGAGTCCCCCAAATTATAATAGCCAAAGTAACTTCTTTTTGTATAAAGCAGCCACTTTAAACTTCAAAAGCTAGAAAAACAGCCAGCCTCAAGGTTAAGCGCCTGAACTTAGTTGCTTCCCCTTAGAAGAGTGTTTTCTTTGGAGTAGCTGGCCTTGGTCCTCCTAGACACTGCAGCTACACTTAATCAGAAAGTGCCTTACTGTTAATGTCTCTATATATCTGTTAAGAGAAGGTAGTTTGGGCTCCTGTAGTTTTCTGATCTGATAACTTGGGCATTCTGACCATATTCAGGACCACCTGGCATTATTCATGTGTAATGAAATTCCTATGGTATATGGGTTTTGCCTTCATAAGCCAGTTTCACCCTCCCCTCAGGGCTGTGGGTCCAAATCTGACTAAGGGACCATGGATAGCTATAGCCCTAATAAATTTGATCAATTAAAATTTAAATTAAAGCCAGGTGTGGTGGCACACGCCTGTAGTCCCAGAACTTGGGAGGCAGAGGCAGGCAGATCTCTGAGTTCAAAGCCAGCCTGGTCTACATAGTGAGTTCCAGGACAGCTGGAGGTACAGGGAGACCCTGCTTCAAAAAGACAAAAAAAAAAAAAAAAAATTTAAATTGAGTCTTTTCCCCAATGGCTTCAAACTCCTTAACAGCACAGGTAACTGGATCATAAAGCTAAGCTCTCACATCTTCAAGCAGGCAGAGGAAACAGAAGGAGAGAAACAGGAAATGGGACATGACTGTGAACTCTCAAAGCCCACCCCCAGTGACATACTTCCTCCAGCAAGGCCATACCTGCTTAACTGCCTCAAACGGTGCCACCGACTGGTGCCAAGTATTCAAATACTTGGAACCTGCGGGGAGCATTCTCATCTAAACCATCACAGAGGGTCAGCTTGTCTGTCCGTTGGACTGAGCTCTTTTGTTCTCATGTTTATAGGCCCAGCTTGCTTTACTACAGAGCTGACTTGGATCACAGCTACGAAGATGCAGCTGCCGTCTTTCCTGGTTATCTCATATTTAACTGTGGTTGTCTGGGCAACCTGTTTCCTGAAACAAGTGGAGGCTTTTAAAAAGTTGTCCTTATTAACAATTTAGTGTCCCAATTAGCGTCATTGGAAGTAAGGATATATGAAAAAGGCTGACAAGATGGCTCAGCAGATCAAGGCGCGTGCGTGCTGTGAAAGCCTGATGAATTGGTTTGGGTCCTGGAACCCACTTAAAAATGGAAGGAGAGAACTGGCTTCACAAAATTGTCCTCTGACCTCACAGGCTCATCAGCACATACACAGACACAGACACATAGACACAGACACACACACACACCACACACAGAGATACACTAATAAAAAATAAAGGACACAGAGGCACACACACTGATAAAAAATAAAGGACGAAAGTACCTTGTCTGTTCCTCAAAGAAGGAGGTTTCCTGGGAGTGAGAGGCAGCCGAAACCGACCCACACTGATCCAGAGCTTTGACCTTCCCCTCACCTGGTCACATGACCATCTCATGCCCAGGTGTAGGCTCTTTTGTTTCTCATTTTAGTGCTCCTGAACTTGATGTTTAACTCTAACATTTCTTTTAACTCTAACCTGTTTTTACCAGAACAGTTGCACACACTGACCTCGCATTCCTGATCCTCTTGCCTCTACCTCTTGAGTGCTGTAATTACAGGTTTACAACACAATCTTCAGCATCTGGTATATTTTTTCAAATTAGTGTAAGTTTGTCATTTCAATTAACTATCAGCTCTGTTACCTGTTTCACCTTTATGTTTTCTTAAGCTTAAAAAATTTATTTTTTTATTTTATGTGTATGCGTGTATTGCCTGCATCTAAGTAAGTGCACCCATGTTATGCAATGCCTGCAGAGGTCAGAAGAGGCTATCAGATCCCCTGGAACAGGAGTTACAGACAGTTGTTAGCTGCCATGTGGGTGCTGGGATTCGAACCTGGTTCTTCTGCAAGAACAACCAGTGTTCTTAACCGCTGAGCTGTCTCTCCAGCCCCTGTTACCTGTTTTAAAGCCGAGACATAATGGGAGACGGTTCAGCAGTTTTTGAGCATGTACTGCTCTTGTAGATGTTTCAGTTCCCAGCACCTGCTTGATGTCTTGATATGGTTTACAACTGCCTGTAACTCCAGCTCCTAGGGTATCTGACACCTCCGGCTTTCATAGGCACCTACACTCCTATGTACATACCACACAAATACACACGCATACATTAATTTAAAATAATACAAATAAAAAATAAATCTTTAGAGCTGGGTGTGGTGGTGCATGCTTTTTAATCCCAGCACTTAGGAAGCAGAAGCAGATGGATCTCTGTGAGTTCAAGGTCAGCCTGGTCTACTTATTGAGTTCCAGGCCAGCTGGGCCTACAGGGAGACCCTGTCTCAAAAGACCAAAAAAAAAAAAAAAGACAAAAATAAAATAAAAAATATTTTAAAATGTGGTCTAAAGGCTAGGAATGGTGGTGCACACCTTTAATCCCAGCACTCAGGAGACAGAGGCAGGCAGATCTCTGTGAGATTGAGGCCAGCCTGGTCTACACAGCAATTCCAAGCTAGTTGGGACTACAGGAAGACCCTGTCTTAAGAAGAAAAATGAAAAAAAGAGAAAAAAGCAGTATAACCTCCGTGATAGAGCACCTACCAGCACAAGACCCTGAGTTCAGTGCCCGGGGGCTTGCATCCCCATGGTTGACACCAATATGAAATCCACAGAGATCTTAGGACACATACTCTGGAAGCAAGGCTTTGGATAAACACAATTCTGAGAGAAGGCAAACTCAGTACAGGTGGTCCACTACCAACATGTGTCTTGTGTATGACACATTTTCATGTGTCAAAGCATATTGATGCTTTCCCTTTCCCTATCCTTGTAACTGTCAGTGTTTGAAAACATTATCCATCATCTGGTCTGACTGCTGACTAGAAAGGAAAGAACCAAGTAACTGCTTAGCATTGGCTTCTCCTATGAGAGAATTTCTCCTCCCAGTCATCTTCAAGAAAGTCTTGCAGATAACTACTTCCGTTTTGGTGACTTTAACATCAATAGACTTTGATAGATTTGGGATTTGAGAGGAGATGGGAAATCTTCCTGTAGCCACCACCCAAGCAGCTCTAACTACAGGGGATGTGTCACCTGTCTGGTATGACCTCATAGATTTCAAAGATTCCTTTGAACAGTGGCTTTATAACACTCATGTCTAAGGGAAGTGTTCACGGATGCTCAGATGTTTAGTTATGTTGCAAAGTTACTGCGATGTTGGGAACAGAGCCCTATGTGTATACTTCCCAGCCTTTCAAAACCCTGAATTGAAACCAAGCCTGGAGAGATGACTCTGTGGTTAAGAGCACTGGCTGCTCTTGCAGAGGACCCCCGTTCAGTTCCGAGCACTCACATGGTGACTAACAGCCATCTGTGACTCCAGTTCCAGGGGATCTAACACCATCTTTTGGCTTCCGCAGGCATTGTATGTATGTGGTGCACTTACATGCAGGCAAAGCACTCAAATACCTAAAATAAAAAAATTTAAGATAAAAATGAAAAGGTTTATAGACCAAATGTGGTAGTTCCTGCCAGTACTTGGGAGGCAGAGGTAGGAGAATCAGGTACTCAAGGTTAGCCTTGTCTACACAGTAAGTTCTCAACAGCAGCACAACAACAAAAACAAAAACCCCAAAACCTAAACTTAACATAGCTGCCAGAATTAGAGTCCTTTTTAACTTCTGTCATCTCCTATTCAATTACAGTTACTCTTCAGATGGTGGAAGATTTCTCTGAGGAGCGAGTACCGGGAAATGAAAGAAACTCATGAAGACTTCCTAGAGCATTCACACCTTCAAGGTGAGGAAGTTACACTCCATACCCGTATCTGATTATATACTTAAATATAATCAAATGATGAATTTAAATATCTTTTGGGATAGGCTCTCATGTATTCTAGTGTTGCATCATTTTTCTGGGAAAATGTAAACAAACACATCTATTTGCCAGAGATAGGACACCAGGAACAGACCAAAGAAACAGTGCCATCAAAGTCTAGCTTAGTGAACCAGTGAGTTTACTGGGGTTGCTTACAGGAGGATGAGAGATGCGTTAACTTGCAGGAGCATGGGTGACTCAGAGGAAGCAGCATTACTGAAAAGCCCACCCCAGAGTGGGTGGGCACTCATGGAAGCTGCCTTGCCCACAACTTGCAGGTAGTTCCACAGTAAGGGTCCGCTTACCCACCCCCCCACGTACATACAGTTGTTACTGCGTGTATAACCTCGGGGAGGGGCTCTGACACTATTGCAGACTTCCAGAGCTTCCTGAGACTTAGGAGTTTTATTTACTCCCGGAGCTTTGGTAAGCCTCCTTTCAGGAGGAACTATGTCAGTTTTGAAGAAATAACACACCACAGGCTGGTCTGGAACTCTCTATGACGAAAGTGACCTCAAACTTCTTTTTTCTTTTTTTTGGGGGGGGCTAGATTTTTCTTTTTGGAGATAGGGTCTCTCTGTAGCCCCAGCTGGCCTGGAACTCACTATATAGACCAGGCTGGATTCGATCTCACAGAGATTATCCTGCCTCTGCCTTCCAAGTGCTGGGACTAAAGGTGTCTACCACCAAGCCTGGCTATCATCTTGAACCTCCTGCCTCTACCTCCCAAATACTGCAATTACACACATGTGCCACTGTACCTGGATTATTGCAGTAGAGGGATCAAGCCCAGGGCTTTGTGTATGCTAGGCAAGCACTTTACCAAGTGAGCTACATCCTCAGTGCAAATGTGGATTTTTTTCTTTTTTTTAAAATTATTTATTTAATAACCACACAATCAGAAGAAGCATTTCATTACAACAGCATTGATATATTCAATAACAATTTCCAGAGCTAAGATGCATCTCCTTCAAAATTGGCTGTAAATTTTTAGGTTTACAGTTGAATTAATACAGTTATACAATATTATACTCAGTATAAACCCTATAAGACATAAAATTAAATGAGGTTTTAGACTTTAAAAAAGATCTCCATTTCACTATTAAAATACACATTTTCATACAGAAAAATTCATTTTCGATACAATTGACACTACAATGCACATGCATTTCTAATCTCTCTATATATGTTATTACTAGTCACAGTCGGTTACTTTCTGAGCTCCTTGGCATCTGAGCATGGATATAAAGTCATCAGGTAGATTTCAATGGTAATGTTTTTCACATCTACCAATTATTAAGGAACAAATTTTTATGCTTTGAAGAATTATTTTTTTTAATTAAAAAAATTATTTATTTATTTTTACACCCACTTCCCAGACAGCACCCTTCCATAGCTTCCCTCCCCCCACTAGAGCCCTTATACTCTGATATCCCTGCTACTGTGTGCTGTGTTGTCGGCACCCCCAGCCGTTCCCCACTCCTTGCTCTTTTGGTGAATCTAGTCAGTCTATCTAGAGGTCTTTGTTTTAGGAGGGTCAGCTGTTCCTCATCTAGCAGCAATCAGTTGTCAATATTCCTTTTGATAAGATTGGGGTCTGCTGTTCATTTTCCCAGTTCTATGCTGGGTTACTATCTGAGAGTCCCTTTGGCCACCCTGGCCAACAACTCAGAAGAAGACATCTCCTATCTGGCATTGTTGCTTGTTATGTCTTTAGCTATGCATATGGACTCTTAAGAGATTATATTGGCCCCTTTAATCTTTGGTTATACTTTCCTTTGGGGTGTTTAAGGCCATACAGTTGGCCCAGATAAACCAATTTATTTTTACTCTTAAGGCCATTTGAGGATCTGTTCCTCAGGGCTCACATGGGCTTGGGAGGAGCCCCTGGCTCCTTTCTTTTACCAGTTCCGCCTATGTGAAGATAAATCAAAGGTCGTACTCAACCATGGCTGGCTTCGCTTGGAAGCATGGAAGAAATATTTCCTCTGTGTTGACATTCCTCTTTGTAGACTGGACACTGGTTCAAGTCCATCTCGTGGGGTCTCCATGGACTCCTTGATCAAGAGGACAGGTGACCCACCACAACTACAGGACATTTTGAGAGATGCTCATAGCCCCCTGGAACTTGGACCTAGGAGGGCAAGGAGCAAAACCTTTTCTTTATGTCCCTCTGACCAAATTAGTATAGGCCTCAAAGTATGTCTGTTAAACATCCAAGAAGGTTAGCTCCATCAGTCTGGTACTTTTAATTATTGTGTGCCATGTAGATAAATCTTGGGCAAAGACCAATTGTTCTCAGATAAACCTTGCCTAGACATATATTTCTTGATCTGGTATGTATAATTTGTCAGTAGGTTGTTGGACTAATATGGTTCCCTCTGGTTTTTAAAACTTGCTAGGCATTATTTATCTCTCATATTGTCTAACCCCTCCATCATGGTTTCCCCAATTGAGGCGCCCCCATTTTTCCCCTTTCTCCCTTACTAATACCCTTCTCCTATGGTCCTACCTCTCTTGAGGTAGGTGCCTACAACACAGCGGACAGTAGCAGGGATAACAGAGTATAAGGGCTCTAGTCGGGGGAGGGAGGCTATGGGAGGGTGCCATCTGGGAAATGGGTGTATAGTTGAGTAAGATGGTTTGGGATGTTCTGTACGACATACACACAAAAAAAGTCAACAAATTTTAAAAAATGAATTATATTTGAGGAGGAAGCATAAAAATTTATAGCATATTAATTAGTAGAGGTGATAAACATTACCATTGAAATCTGCTCGATGACTTTATAGACATACACAGGTGCCAAGGATCCAAGT